TCTATCTCTCCGTACGCGCGAGAGAGAGAGAGAGAGAGAGAGAGAGAGAGAGAGAGAGAGAGAGAGAGAGAGAGAGAGAGAGAGAGAGAGAGGAGGGAGAGAGAAGAAATCTTTAATTCACAGGGACGGGTGTGTTATAATAATAAACAAAGCTGAGCACTCGAGAAGAAGACTGAAAGTGGCGTCGCCAAGCGCTTTTGATGATGCTCAGTGCGAGCATTGGTCACGTGACTGTGCACTTCAAACCCTTTCTTGATGTGTGTAAAATGTTTTGCTAAATCTACACGGATTTAAGTGTCGCCTCTCACGAATACACTAAACACATTATCCAACGTCATCCCACTTGAGGAAGTTTGGGATGAGAACTAAAAGCGCGAGCACTTCAGAATCTACTCCCAGTAGTCTCTGTCGGTTTTCTTGTTTCACGTTTGTATTAATGGCCTATAGTCGGGACAACATCAAATGGACAACTTGTCGACTTCATTACACCGAATCTAAGAGGCGAATCTCTTTGATTTTTGACATGCACCTCTGAATTCTAAAAGACCTAAAAAATCTCGATTTTCGTGCATGTGCTACAAAAATAAAGAGGTGCTGTCTATAGAATCATTAGTAATTAATTGCTCATTAAACTCAACACCGCACACTTTTTTTATAGCAAGCACGGTACTATGCTAAAAGCATAACAAAACAGCGTGTCGTTGCCGGGGTTAAACCAGAAATTAGGGGGGCTCTCGTGGCCTAGAGGTTAAGGTGTTGGCCTCTCATTCAAAGGTCCCGGGTTCGATTCCGGGTAGCGACCAAAAAAATTTTCTTCTCTAAAATTGTCTCCTTTCACATCCTTTCCTGATCTCTAACAATGTTCTGTTGTCTGCTTTCATTTCCACTTTCTGCCCCCACCCCCTCACCTCCTTTGCCCCCTCCTCTGGGCTCCTGACTCTTTCTGCAGCCTTTCTACTGCTACTCTTTGGCTCCTCTTAACTGCTGTCTTTCTGCCACACCCCTGATCTTCTGGTAGGAAAGATCTACACCTAGCCTTCTCGGACAAGGGCGAAAAATCTCGGAGGGCCCGTGTGCAAGTTGCGCACGTTAAAGATCCCTTGGTGGTCTAAAATCGATAAGAGTAGGCTTCGGCCGCCACCCGGGCAAAATTCAAAATTTCCTACAAACGAAAAAGTATTAGGTGTGTCCCGCGCGCTCATATGACCTTATGCAGTTGCGAGCGCCGTAAAACCCTATACTAACCAAACCAACCAAACCAGAAATTTCAGAGGGAGGGGGAAAGCAGTTTGGTCAAACCCAAAAACTTGGGTCAACAGTGCTATATTTCAAGCGCCCCCCCCCTCCCCACAGGTCCATAAGCAGAGTGCCCCTTACACCTACACGCCTTGTCCTTTTTGTTGTTGTTGGAATTTGTCATCAAATAAAAGAGACGGCGCCGATCAGCTTCTTTCGAGAAATTGTTCGGTAGTTTTAAGGCAACGATTTTTGTTTTCTTTATAAATTAAGAAATCTTACAATGGTGATTAATGAAAAGGGGACAGCAAATTGAAACGCATGTGATCTCAATGACTGAAAATATAAAAGAAATTTTACCCATTGTATGTCACAATGTGTCAATCAAAATAGACCCACTGTCACCCATTAACCGCTGGACTGAAAACAACTCAGTCTTGCGGCACATGCTGTCAGTTACAAAAAAAAAAAAAGAAAAAAGAAAAGAAAAGAACATAGATTTAAACAAACAAACCTTACACTGAACAACCATTCTTATTCTAATAAAAAAAAACACCACGGTGCAAAATGGATTTAAATACTAATGATTATATAGAAAACACCTCTTTACATATGTCGCATGTGCACGAAAATTGAGATTTTAAAGTTTTTTTGGGGAATTCTGAGGCATATATGCAAAAAATCAGAACAATTCGCCAAAACAGTTTCTGTGTAATGAGGTCGACAAGATGTCCATTTGGTGTAGTCCCGACTACAGGATTGACTCGAATCTGATGTTTGAACACCCCCTCCCCCACCCCTTCTCTCTCTCTCTCTCTCTCTCTCTCTCTCTCTCTCTCTTTCTCCTCTCTCTCTCTCTCTCTCTCTCTCTCTCTCTCTCTTTCTCCTCTTCTCTCTCTTTCTCCTCTTCTCTCTCTCTCTCTCTCTCTCTCTCTCTCTCTCTCTCTCTCTCTCTCTCTCTTTCTCAATATGTGTGCGCACGCGTGTGTGTGTGTGAGAGAGAATGTGAGTGAGTGAGTCAGTGTGTGTGTATGTGTGTGTGTGTGTGTGTGTGTGTGTGTGTGTGTGTGTGTGTGTGTGTGTGTGTGTGTGTGTGTGTGTGTGTGTGTGTGTGTGTGTGTGTGTACGTGTTGAACAAAGTTCTTTGGATTGATTTGCACATCTAAATGAAAATATGACTCATCCGAGAACCATGTTTCGTTCACTCATTTTGGGTCTCTTTTTACTGATGAACAAACCTCTGGCACATGTGGACTCAAGATGCGATGTCTTTAGGGTTCAGATTTTTATTTTAATGCTATAAAATACGGATGCAGACTGAGATAATATCACACAGACCTACTTTTTGAGTTAGCTGTCTCATTGATAATTATTGATGGCTTCGATTAAGTCCTGCCTTTAACACGTGCAGTGTTTCTCCCACCCTCAATGTTTGGTACCAGAAAACTATTGAGAGCTCGTTTTGAAGTCAGGGTTAGGCTAGTGCTTAGGTAACTTCTCAAATAAAATTTGAACACGACGTCTCCGAAAAGTTGTTCTACAGATCGGCGTATAAATAATTTAATATAGAGACATTATTTGGGGATTATAGACATACATTTTTTTCGATCACCCTGTTATATCATATTAGCGAGAGAGAGAGAGAGAGAGAGAGAGAGAGAGAGAGAGAGAGAGAGAGAGAGAGAGAGAGAGAGAGAGAGAGAGAGAGTCAAAGAAAAGACTGAGAGGGACACGTTCACACATACACGCTCACACACACATACACACACACACACACACACACACACACACACACACACACACACACACACACATACCGACACACACACACACACACAGGGCGAGAGAGAGAGAAAGAGAGAGAGAGACAGAGAGAGAGAGAGAGAGAGAGAGA